CACACACACACACACACACACACACACAGCGACTCCCTGTTGCTCACCAGCAGCTGTTAAACAACAATCATTATGTACAACATAAGACTCTCACTAACAGCTATAATGCAAAGCAGAAAAGTTGGTCAGAGTTCACTTTAAATAAAAAACACACACACACACAGAGAGAGGATGTGCTTTACATTACAGTCATGGAAGAAAAGTCCATTAAAAACACACTCAGAGGACAACAACAACACACAAACCAGGGCAGACCAAACCCACTACTTGTGGCTGCAGCAGCTCCCAGCTCAAAAACGTGCTCCACACACTGAGTTGCTGGAAAGTCCTAAACTGYACGCGACAGAAGCTGCTTCTTCAGCAACACAAATTATCAGCTGCATCTCCATTAATCCCAACTACAGCATGCCTCCCTCTAGTGCCGGGATTTGCATGCAGACCTGCCGCTGATCGATATAGTTTCATTGTAAAAGGTGAATTTTCACGAGTCATTGATGCGCCTCTGATTGATAGTCACTGCGTCTGCTGACACTTCTAATGGCAGGCAGGCTTTAAAAACGAGGAATATTCCACTCAGAAAGGCTGGATTATGGAGAAAAATCTTTAAGGTGTGTATTGATTAAGAAAACCTGATGTAGATTAGGTTCAAAGGCAGGAAAAAAAAAAGTTGTGCGCACCAAACTTTTTTTGTTTTCCAAAGAAGGGCATTCCCTTACCTGAGGCGCAMGAAATTATTCCAATCCAAGTCCAGCAAAGAAACGTGAAATCTGTCTTCATCTCCAGATCTCCGGTCCTGATGTGCAGAAAGTTGGAGAGTTTACTGGCTCTGAGGAAAAGTTGGTTTAGGTGAAGATCCGCGGGTGTTTTGGAGACATGCGGGGATGCTCAGGTGAACTTCGGACGATGCGTAAAAGTTGGCTCTCCTTTGCGCACTGAGCCCGCGAGGGCTGAGAAAGTAAGAGGGGGGGTGGGGGGGGGACGCGTTTCCTTCTTGTCAAAAGGATGCATAAGGCACTGAATGGGATTTACAATGATTTCCCTTTCCTTTGCTCGTGACTGGAGCGCATGCACCCACCCAGTTCATAAAACAAGCTGAATTGGAGGAGTGTGTGTGTGTGTGTGTGTGTGTGTGTGTGTGTGTGTGTGTGTGTGTGT